ACCCCATTCTGTTTAATTTTGCGGCTACCAATGGGGGCTTTTCTCCTTTGGCAAGGCGATACTGTGAGGGTTTTTAAAAAATTTTATGTCGTGCCCTCCTCCCCCACCAGCTAGGTGCTCACTGGCGAACCTAAAATCCAATACTTAATATTCACAATTACTGTAGAATAAATCACAGATATATCTCCAGTTACAAAGCTCACGAAGGCAACACAATGTTACTTGATATGATTCCAGGGTGGGGGGGAAATCAGTGATATTTTTGAAAATCAAATTGATTTAAATCATTTGTAATTTAAATCTTCAAAAAAAACTTTTTATGGTTGTTTAAACCATGATTTAAATCAAATTGATTTAAATCCACTTTATTTGATACTCTAGGCACCTACACGTCAATGCTATATATATATTTATTTTTATCCCACCCAATTCGTGTGGGCGGTTAATAAGCAAAGCGATGAAAATAATATGACAATAACAAAACATAATAATAAAGAAACTTAAATCAGTCAACAAACAAGGAACTATAAAATCAATCAACATGAAACCATAGATGGGAGGTCAACACAACATGGCAGCCTTCATTATAAGATGCCTTGAAAAAGCTTCAATAAAGAACATATTCACAGTTTCTCTAAAGCTGGGCGTGAGAGGGGCAGCGACACCAGAGGAATGGTGCCACAACCAAGGAGGCCTAATTTCTGGTGGACGTCCTTCTGGCCATCTTCAGGTGGCACAACCTGCAAGCATCTGGTGGCATAGAGTCAATGTTCCTAGGGAAAGGTCCTCCAACAGTAAGGAGGTCCCCAACCATGGAGAGCTTTGTAATTTAAAACCAAAACTTTGAATCTGACCTGGAACATCAGCGGTAACAAGTGCAGGTGAGTCAGGATTCGGGAAATGTGTTCAAATTTACTCACATGCGACACCAGGTATATAGGTATATTTATACCTGGTATAGTGACTGTTCAATTGGATATTGTCCTTTCAATGATGTTTTGAATAAATGAATAGGATTTCTTTCAAGGAAAGTGCATATAGGACTGCAAATAATTTATTTATTGAGGGGCATGTTTTTGTGCACCAGAGGTGTATGAAGTGTTAACCTCAGTTTGCAGCCTGGTAGATGATTTCCCCCCCCACACACACACACACAAATAAATGGTCTAGAATGAAATATAACCAGAATTTTAAAAAAAACAACAACAAATAATCTACACAAATGAAATCATTCTGATATGAAGTGTTAACCTCAGTTTGCAGCCTGGTAGACGATCCCCACACACACACACACACAAATAAATGGTCTAGAATGAAATATAACCAGAATTTTAAAAAAAACAACAACAAATAATCTACACAAATGAAATCATTCTGATATGAAGGGTATAGCAGTACAGTTGTATACAGTGGCCAAAATCCTGTTGCTTAGCACAGTAAATTGCATTAGAGTGGGCCCACTAAATTAGTAGGGATTTGGTAAGTCAACTCCTCCATAAGATCTATTGATTCAAATGGGTCTACTCTACAATTTATGCTGAAGTAAATCACAACTTGAGTAGGCCCATTTGAATCAGTGGGACTTGCAAAGGTGATGATGATGCGCCAAACTGCTGCTGATTCAATGAGTTTACTGTAGTGCAACATATTTCCAATAGTATTATTTTGGAAAATAATATACTGTACATCTGAAATAAGCTCCACTGAGTTCTGTGAGTGACACCAACCACCAGGTAAGTGTACATAGGATCCGAGACAGATATCAGTTCTATTCAAGCATTACACCTGAATGTATTCATGAAGGCTTTCATGGCCGGGATCTAATGGTTGTTGTGGGTTTTTTGGGCTCTTTGGCCGTGTTCTGAAGGTTGTTCTTTCTAACGTTTTGCCAGTCTCTGTGGCCGGCATCTTCTGAAGAGGCCGGCCACAGAGACTGGCGAAACGTTAAGAACAACAACCTTCAGAAAATGGCCAAAGAGCCTGAAAAACCCACAACAACCATTACACCTGAATGTTTGGAGGGCTCTACTCATTGCAGAGATGTAAGGATGCACAAAACCCACACCCCTACATTCTCACCCTACCAGACCCTACAGGATCTGGCCAGTTTGAATGTGGTTTGTGGTTGAAAAACGAGACCTTTCTTTAAAAGCATGGCTCTGCAAATTCAGATCCGAGAAAACTGTTAAAATGTCTTGCGGTTTTACAAAGTTTCATGCGTAAGGCTCAAAAAAGCAACCAATCTATGTAGGAAGTTAAAATTGACTCTGACTCCCTAGCTGTGTATACCACGGGCCTAAAGGCACATCTTAACTCCTAATCAGATAAAAGTTAATTGAGCCATACCTTTACAGGAAGCTACGGACAAAGGAGCTGTCATTCTTTCAATTAAATCTATCCTACAAACAAGGAGAGTTTCTCATTTCATTCCTAAACTGATTAGATAACACTCGTTACCTTGAGGCTATGGAATCTTTTATCCTTTTATTTCTTCGAGAAAAAGAGTTATAGCTAGGATACTTCAACGGCCTGTTTTAAAAATAAAATAATAATTCCTGCTAGCTGGTCCTGGAGTGATAACTGCATTATCCCCCCCGCGTTCTGCAACATAAAATAATAATAATGATTGGAGGTACAGTATATCATTTGAGCGTGACGGGCATCCCTAAAATGGATTGGCCCTACCCTTAGGCGGAGTGAACAAGTGGCCTTGTTAAGTGTTGAATGGCAGTGAACCACAGTGAAGGGTTGAAGTAGCCAGAGATCAGCACACTGGCCAGAGTCTCAAACAATGGCTGAACGTCTCTGGTTTGAGACCAGTTTAAGGTGAACAATGCTGGAGAAAGGGGCCATTTGATTGTTGTGTGTTTCGGCACCTGAGTTCATGACTCAAAGAGAAGATAAGCTTCTATGTGCAGTGTTTGCACAGCATTGGTGCACCCAAAGTCGGGAGTAAAGGGAGCGATGGAGGGCAGGGAGTGGACGTCCCTTATCACAATACTTACGCTGCCTTGTAGCGGGAGCCCCAGCAGCAGCAGTGAAGGGCCTGGGCTTCCATGGGCTTCAGCAGAAGGGCAGAGCCGGGGGAGAAACTTCCCACCAATTTATGTAGGGCAGCAGAGAATGTAACTGGCAAAGACTGCAGATTATGGGCACATGTTGATGGCCAGCTAGCTGCTGAAAAATAGTAGGGTTTTCCAGGGGTTAGCAGAATCTAACTTGGATTTTGGTCTTCTTTAACTCATCTCCTCTCTTGCCTGTTTCCATAATCAACACGTTCAAAAGCATTTCTGATTCCCACGGGTCTGGTTCACTCCACCTTTACTCCAGCAGCTTTTAGCTTTTAAATTTCAGGGATGCTGCTGACTGCCAATCCTATGGAAGCAAATCCTATGGAAAACAATCCTTGTTTACCCTTTTGACCCTCTACTTCCTTCTGCATCTACTGTTAGGCCCTGTTGATTTTCTGTCTCTTTTGGAAAAGAGAGCACCATCATTAACATCCTTATTATTTCTGTGAAGATTCTCAGTCATCCAGGTGTGGTTATCTGGAAGTTGAGTCATGGAGTTGGGACTTCTTTGTTGTTAGGTTAGACTAAAGAAGCTGCTTGGATGAGTAATGAAATATTTCAAACTAACAAGAAGTCCAGTTGCCACAACTCAGCTTCCACACATCCTTAGTGTTGTTGCAAATATTAGTAATTCCAATCTTTAACTGTCCAGGAAGGAACACCTAACCATGGGGGAAAGGGGGCTAGTAACTATTGGTGTTCCCAAGCAGTCTCTGCAACTTGTTAATTGCAGTAAATTGACTAGGTGCTGGGTGCATCTTGGTAGCAAAGTCAGCCTTGACACCAAGCACATGGTAAATTGTTATCAATTAGCTGCAGCAAGTTATATATATAAACACCAAAAAAGCAGAGCATGGTTGAAGTTCTTGTTATGTATGCTTTTTTTTCCCTGCTGGGTGTTAATTTAGTCTTAAACCACATTACTGTACTGTATTTATTTTATTTATTCCAATGCTACTTTTATCCCAGTTATTGGGCCCAATACAACTCACAAACTATTTTAAAAGCCAGTTAAAAACATGGTCAAGCACTCTATTAAAAATACAGAGATGGTAGCCATACTTGGATGGCAGGCAGCCATTATGCAGGTGAAGTGTTTCTCCAGCATGGCAGGCCAACAGGTAGGGAGAATTTTTCTTACTATAGTTTGGATCAGAAATTTAAAAGGGATGTTTAGAAAGAAAGAAAGATTAAAAACAGGCAAACTGGGTATAGTTTATCAAACAAAACCCAAATAATAATAATAATAATAATAATAATAATAATAATAATAATAATAATAATAATAATAATAATAATAATAATAATAATAATAATAATAATAATAATAGTAGTAGTAGTAGTAGTTTGTTGTTGTTGTTGTTGTTGTTGTTAAAGATAAAAACCTTATGGAATCCTAAAGATTAACTGTTATATTTTAATGAGAGCATTTGGATAGAAGCCCACTTCTTCAGATATATGAGGTTCCTTTAGATGTGTCCCTAGGGTAAGGATGTAGCCTTACAATAGCTTAGAAAACGGAGTGAGTCCTCCCTTTCTCGTTTCCCTTCTGCAGGTTGTTGAGGCGATGCAATAAAGCAAAATAGAAGGCAGATTATTGCTGACTTTACCCGCTTACATCCTAGGCACTGTTTTCAATTATTGGAATATTGCAATGTTTGGAGGGGGGGGCCAGAAATGTTTCCATGTTCAACAGCCGACCTCGGCACAAAGTTCTTCTGAAGCGCGGACATCCTCTCCAGAGCAACCACGGAACTCCCCGATTGAAAGGATATTGCACAATGCATGGGGGGGAGGAGGGACAATCCTGTTAAGAATCCCGCTTGCTGCCTAAACCACGAGGACGACAAGAGAACGCAGGCAGCCCCTGAGGGGGCGTGGCTTTGGCGTCACCCGAACGCTCCTCCAACCCTCGACGACCTCCCGCCTAAGCTCCGCCCCCCCCGTTGTGACGTCGCCCACCCAGGCCCGGCAAGGCCTAGCGCTTCCCTGATTGCTTCGTTCGAGGCGGAGGCGGCGCCAAAATGGCGGCCAAGGTGAGTGAAACGCTGGCGGGAGAAGCCGTTTCTGAGGCAACTGTCTCTTTCCCCCCCCCCGTTTTCTCGCTTCCCTCCCCGCACCCGCCTTATGGGGGGGGTTGATACGCGCGATATTGGGCTTATTAATCCTCTTGAAAACTTGCAGAAGGGACCTGACACGAGCAGAGGGCGCCTGAGCATGTGCAGAGAGCCCTTTCCTGCGCCCTGGAAGTGACTCGCTTTTGCTCCCTTTTGTTTGATTTTTTTTTCTCCTCCTTGGCCCCTCCCGGGACCATGAATCTCACAGGGAATTTGAACGAGATAACAGAGCTTTTTGTTTTTGTTCCACTAGGTTTTCATTTGAGGTCTAATAATTTGCTTTTTAGCTGTTAATACTGTTATGAGGAATGAATATTATAAAGAAGTGACATTTTAAGCTTAAGTAAGAAAAATAGAGTGTGGGAAATGGAGGTGTTTGTTAGGATTTTAGGGAGTGGCCACCTTGGTGCAGGAATGTGTGGAAAGTTGGAAGCATGCACATTTTTATCAGCTTCTGAGTCCTTGTGGGTCTTTTGCTCCAGCAAATGCAATGGAGAGCTTTGCAGTTCCTATAAAACTTCAGCAGTGGGCTGGATAGCTGAGTGATTTAAGTACTGTATTTGGCCACAGAGCCAGTGCTGGATAGCTGAGTGATTTAAGTATCTGGCCACAGAGCCAGTGGGTTTATTTATTGATTGATTGATTTGATTTGATTTGTACCCCACCCATCTGGTCCATAAGACCACTCTAGGCGGCTTCCAATATAACATAAAAATAAAATAACAGAACATATTACATAGATCATACAATAACAGATGTAATACAAGACGGAAGAAATAAATAAAGAAAATTAATTGGGAGTTTAGATCATACAATAACAGATGTAATACAAGATGGAAGAAATAAAGAAAATTAATTGGGAGTTCAATTCCTCTCTGTGCCCCCTGGGAGAAGAGCCAGCCTGGGTAGCCTTGGGCCAGCTGCACAGATCCAGGGGAGAAGAGCCAGCCTGGGTATCCTTGGGCTAGCTGCACAGATCCAGGATTGCCCCAGAAGAAGGGAATGGCAAACCACTTCTCAGTATTTTATACCTAGAACACCCCAGAAAAGGTTGCCATGAGTCCCAATTGATTCGACACACAATTATTGTTATAAAACTTCAGTAGATGTCAGCCGGGATCCCCTTTATTGGATGCATTTAGTTGGCCGGAATGCATACTCTGGAGATGCAAAAGTCTTCGTGATGTTCTGTGGAGCTTCATAACACAACCATTGAGCACAACAGTTGCTTTATTAATACTCCACTGTACTAATAGCAGTAATTCTTTCTAGAGGGTTTTTTTAATCAGCCTCCTGCAAAATGATTTCTATGTATTTAATTGTACCTTCTGTGTTAGACTGAGGTTTGCCTTCTGCAGCTTATATTCCTAGCTAGCTTGTGCCTGTTTTGACATGTCCCGGGAGCGCCTTTAAAAAAAGTAATCTTCACTTGCTCCCAACCACTTTGCTCTCTTATTTCACCCCCGTGCCCTCAAAGCAAGCAAACAACAACAACAAAAATGCTCTACTGATGATCTTCTGCAGAAAATCATTCTAATTCGTTGAAAAAAAAGGGGGGAGCCTTGTGGCTGTTATAAAATAGAAATGCAAGAGTAGGCAATACTTAGGCCTCCTGGCAAACCCTACCTTGCCACAAATGTTTGGACTTTTGGTAATTGCTTTAAGAAATGAGGTTTACCCTCCAAATCTTACATCTTGTATGAGTTTTAATTTTTTAATCACTGGCCTATAAAGGTATTGCCTGTTCTTGCATCCTGATTCATGTGTCTCAAGAAGTGGAATGATGTTTCGCAGTTCCCCCCCCCCCTTTTTTTTTCGTGGTTCTTTATTTTCTTCAAGTTTCACAAAATCTGCACTGCTTTTTCTTGGCTCTCTACTTACATTTTCTGCCCTCCTCCTCTCAGTAATGATCATGTTGGGCCACTGCTTTACTCTGACATTGCAATAGGGTGCCTCATAGACAAGGGTTATTTTCTTCTTTTTCTCTAAGCATTTTATTCCCTTTGGAGCCAGAGGTGGGCACCTCAAGATACAAAAAAAAATATGAGCAGGACTACATTTTCCCCTTCCTTTGCTTCTGTTTCCCCCTGTCACAAATGCATACTTTCTCTCTCACTAATCCTGATGCTAACTTTTGGTTCATTGTTTCTCCATCCCCACCCATTAGGCCACTGAGGAGGGAAGGTCAGATTCATCTTGTCATATGTCTAACCTGATGTCTCACACAGCTTCCCTCTTCCCATTGTTCCGACCATTTCACTACACTCCCCCTTTGAACTGATCATTTACACAGGCTGAAACAACGATAATATGTGTGGTGCCATTACATGTAACAGATTTATGGTGGAATGATCTTTCATGCACAGACAACCTGATTCTTCAGAAGATAACATGGCTACCCTCGGAAATTATAGAGAGAACTTGTTTTCCCCTACTCATGTGCATTACTTTCTCTGCTCCAGTGTTCCCTGCCTTGTAGAGATGTTACACTGTGTTCGGTAGAACTTATACATCTTCCTTCCATGTGCTGTCAAATCAGTTCTGAGTTATGGTGACCCTTTTGAGGTTTTTCCCGGAACTAAGTACCCAGAAGGGGTTTCCCATTCTGGTCTTCTGAGAGCACCCTGGGACTGTGCAGCTTGCCCAAGGCTACACAGGCTGGCTCTTCTGAGATGCACGGCGAGGCATCAAACTCCAAACCGCTGGTTCCATAATCAGGTACCTAAACCACTGAGATATCCAGCCAGCTCTGGACTTAGACATACTAATAACTGTGTGCTGTCAAGTCAGTTCTGACTTAATGACAATTCTTTTCAGGGTGGCCTAGGTAAAGAGTTATCACAAGTGGCAATTCATTCCCTTCTTGTGTTATACATACTATTTTAAATTCTATTGTAGCTTACACGTGGGACTGCACTGTCTGTGCATCTAAAGGTGTTTTGATCTTTATCATTTCTGGGGAATAGGCTGAATAAAGAAGGGGTTTTGTTCTGCTAGGAGTTCTAAAACTAGGCAGAGGCGGAAATACGTTGAGCCTTTAGAAGTTCCGGCTGCATTTGTAGTAGAAAGTTAATTTGCCCTGAAAATTATACTTCCTTGAGGGTGATAGTGTAGATATTTCCAAGATATCCCAAGAGTACTTCAGAACTGTGTTTCTCAGAGTTATCTCAGAACTGTAGGTAGACAACGGGATGACAACCTTAGCATTTTCCACAAAATGCAATGCACCTGATCACATGGTGCTTGTATGCCAGCAATCCTCTCAATCGTATACTAACACTGGGGCTATTTCTTTCACCACCACCCCACCATTATATACCATGGATTTTAATAGAAGGATGTATGTTTTCCAAGATGAACTCCAATAAGAAAGAACCAGCAGAATGGCAACCAGGATCAGTAAAACCATACCTCATTCAGTGTTTTCAGTGTATGGATTAGCAACTGTTGCCAATAATGCTACAAAAATACTACAACTTTTCCGAGCAGTTCGATGGTGCTAGACTCGCTGGCATGCAGAGTTGATATTAAAAATCACATATGAATTCCTTTCTAATTGGGCATGTGTAAAGGGGAGGGGAACGGCTGCATCTCCCATGAGCCAGAGGCGATCTTCTCCTTGAATGTTAAGCCTTGCTGGCATTATATTATGTTTCACTGATTATTCGCAACCTTTGGTTTGTTTCCTGCCATGCCTGTTATCGTGATGGGGATTCATTAGGATGTTTTCCAGTAGTCACATCAGGCTTTGACCTTTGCTGCCACTTCTTTTTTAGAATCCCTCAGAAAGAAATACACACACACACATATATACACATAGGAAGCTGCTTTCTACTGAATTAGACCTTTGGTACATTTAACACAGAAATGTCTCTACTCTGACTGTGGTTCTGTGAGCTTTGAGGATGGAATTTCCCCCAGACCTACACTGGAGATGCTAGAGAGATTAAAGCAGAGGCTGTACTTTGGTGATGAGCTATGGCTGTTCTCTATGAGTTCCTGTTGCTTCTGGCTGTGAAATGGTAAAGGGCCTACCACAAGATGTAGATGGTCATGCGGGTGACTCTAAAAAGGAACCGTCGGGTGTAGATTTCTAACAGTATCAGAGATCATATATCTCTTACTACCAATTTCATTAGTTCTTGATGACTATCTTACCTCCAGTATCAGACGCAGTATTGCGCTAGTGAGTTACTAAAGGCAAGTTGTTGGTGTAAATGTGTGTTCTACCAGCTCATATGCAGCTGAGTTAGCTTCTGTGGAACGGAGGACTAACTCTTACGTTAGTCCCCACTAGAGTAGGCTCACTGAAGTGAATGGGTTGTGTTAAGCCCTGACTTCCCACTTAAGTAAGTCTCATTGACTTCAGAGGGTCTATTTTAGTTGGGACTAATATTGGGTTTTTAAAAGGGACTTGGTGGCGCTGCGGGTTAAACCGCAGAAGCCTCTGTGCTGCAAGGCCAGAAGACCAGCCATTGTGAGATTGAATCCATGCAACGGAGTGAGCTCCCATCACTTGTCCCAGCTCCTGCCAACCTAGCAGTTCAAAAGCATGTAAAAATGCGAGTAGATAAATAGGTACCGCCACGGTGGGAAGGTCATGGCGTTCTGTGTCTAGTCGCGCTGGCCACGCGACCATGGAAACTGTCTTTGGACAAACGCTGGCTCTATGGCTTGGAGACGGGGATGAGCACTGCCCCCTAGAGTCGGACACGACTGGACTAACTGTCAAGGGGAACCTTTAATATTAAGTTTAATTAAATAATTATATGCTTTCATGTCACTTTTGACCTATCATGATCTTTCCAAGGGTTTGTAGGTATCCTTAGAAGTGATTTACTGTTTCCTTTTTTCAAAGAGATGCTCTAGTCTAGGTGATCCAAGGATATACAGGCTGGATTTTTCTAGCTCAGCATATGGCAGAATCTTTGGGTTGATTAAACATGGTCCTTATAAATTAAGTATAGTTCTATGGCAGTGAAAGGTCCACAACTGGAGACCCAATTTATTATTAATATATAGAAGGAGAGGAATTGTGCTAGAAGTGTTAAACTTCTGCTTGAGCCTCCTCATAGGCAACTGAAAGGATCATCTCCTTAAGCAGGATCTGGCTGAGCCTTGCAAGTTTAATAGGATTTTTTTAAAAAAACCCACGAATAAATCCTCCTTCAGAATAATTGCTTCAGAAATAATTACTGGGCAACCAAGTGATGTACAGAAACGCATTCCTAATCATCGTGTGGTTGACTTCAGTAGATACCTCAAAGCAAAGCAATTAGTGCCATTCAAGAGCTGAGTTAATTCCAGAAGTCACAGCACAGTTCCTGGCCCCGTAAATACTGTGGAACGTGTGTTATTAATAAATGTAGCTTCACACAGCAAATAAAGAAGTGCCTCCCACACAGCCCACCCACTCCATGGTGCAGTTTCAAAATGTGTTGTGTGTGTCCAAATAGCCACTTGGGTAATTTTGACATGGCCACACACAGGAGAGAAAATGCCTCTCTTGTACAGTCATAGACCAGAACTGTAACGTGTGAAGTTTCATTTAAATGGCCAGTGGGGAAACTTCAGACGTTTTGGACTGCCATCCCCATAAACTTCTTTCCAGTACCTGTTTTACCTTTGATACTTGGATTCTTGGCATATCTTTTGCCCTGCAGGTTTGTAGGAAGGACGAGTCACTTGTACAGCCCATTCCATCATCCCACCTACAATTGATCCTTTTTTCAGGATGTTCCTAGAAATGTAAAAAAATATCTTCCCCTTTAGCAATAAAATGTATGTGGTGGAAGAAACCTAAAGGTGTAAGGATAATTTCTCGATGTAAAATATAAATTTGTAGTATACCGGGTATTTAAATGTTCTGTTAACATAAGGCAGAGAGCATTTGATCGCTTTGTAAACCAGAATCTGAAAATCTGCCCATAAATCCCCTTTATTATATACGTATGGGCCTTCTCATGAGCAAACAGTCTCCAGCAGTTGTATTCTCCCTCCCCTCCCATTTTTTTAAAGCTCTTGCTTGTTCATTAACATTTGGTAAATTTAAAGTGTGAGAGTTAATTAGTCTCTGCTCTGGAAGGAAGAAAAACCCTCTATCTTTTCCCTTTTTTGCATGATTTCTTGTTTATACAGAGTCACAGATCCTTCTGTGCTCTTTGACATTGGTAATTTCTGTAGTTTTCTTCCTTGCATTTTCCACCTGTTCTGCCTCATCTTTCTGCCTGTTACTCTGTTCAACACAGTGAGTCAGTTTTCTTTATTTCCTGCAATTTTTCTGCTCCAGTTAGGGTGATAACCTGAGCTTACGCAGAAGACAGAGGTCAGGATTAAATCGCCAACATACCCAGGAGATTTCAGTCCCCAAATTAGTTCAGGTTTTGTGCCAGAGAGCTCCATCTTCTATATTATTCTAGACGAATGTCACGTCCCTGCCTGTCCCCTGGTGGTTTCACCTTGCAAAGGGCACAAGCTATGTGTCGTTGACTTCATCAACATTGTTTATTAATAATAATAGAGGTCCAGGCAATGTGTCATTTTAAATAGAACCAAATACAAGTTGTTTATTAATACAGGTGATGGAGATACAATCAATGTCTTTAACTCTTAACCAAAGATCCCACTTCATCCATCCTCAACCGCCAACCCTTTCTCTCTCTACTCCAAACTCCCAGTTCCCAAAACCTCCCTTCTCAACTCTCTATCTCTCACAACCCCAGTCTCTCTCTACTCCCCCTCCTGCAGAGACTCTTATATCTGGTGACTCTCCTTGGACCATGCAAATAGCTTATTACTATATTCATGACCTGGGTGGTCGCCACAATGAAGTTTCTGTATTCTTCGAGGGGCATTAAGCGAGTGCACCCTGCTTCCCTTCTCATGGGAAGCAAAGAGTTGCTGTGGGAGGATGGATATGGGCTTGAACGTTTGCCCCACAGATGCTTTGAATTCCCTTGGCCACTTTTCACAAGCAAAGCTGAAAGAGAACTATTGTTGGAAAGAGACCAAGGAATTGAACTCAGATTTGATAGGTGAGGGCTCGTCTGTCATCTAGGCCAGCGATGGCGAACTTACGGCATGCGTGCCACAGCTGGCATGCAGAGACCTTTCTGCAGACATG